GAAAAGGGGAAGATAAAGGGGAAGGAGAAGAGTTTGTACTGGTAAAATAAAAACGGATTATATGTTAGATAGTTTAAACTAGTAGTAGGCATTCCCCCCTATAGAAATTTCATCTGATATATTGAATTCACCATTGGTATATAATTCTCATAGTTGGATTCAAAAGATAGATGGTAAACTGTTTCCTTGAAAACAGAGCAGTGTTAGTTACAGTTAGAACTGTCATCAGACACAATTAATACAAATCAACAATTGTTTCATTTGTAAAAAAAAAACTATTATTTATTTTAATTATTATTGAAAAGATTATTTTTATAAATCAAAATCCAAGCCTTATATAATTATTATTATGTTTATTTCTTATTATTTGTAATTATATAGTAAAAGTCAATATAACGGTTTATTGATATAACAGATTTTGTTTAGTACAGATTTTTTTCTTGAAACCAAAATTTATTAATAAATATAGCAGATTTTACTATTAAACTGTTGTATTGCAGTTCCAGATTTTTTTTGATGAACAGAGCTTAATGAGACATTATTCAATATAATAAAATTATAACAGAGTTCATTATAGTTAATAGTAGATCCATACTAAAGTATTCGAATCTGTTATAATTTGTAGTAGATCTGTACTAAAGTGTTTGAATCCGTTATAATTTGTAGTAGATCTGTAATAAAGTGATCGAATCCGTTATAATCCATAACAATATTAATAACACAAATTTAATAAAGATCAAGCTGTCAAATATTTTTGCTTCTTGTTAATATTACTAACATTTAACAATATTATAGATGAAAAAATGACAAGAGTTTTGTTAATGGCTTTACAAAAGAAAGAAATTTGCAGACATGCCTTTAAGGCAAACATTTAACAGAAAGCTCTAGCAAAAGAATATAGTGTTTTATCCTAGCAAGTTTCAGATATTCTTAAGAACAAAGATCAATGGTTATCTATTGAAAGTGAAATATTAGTAGCCAACTTTAAAAGAATATATAGAGTAACATATGAAAATATAGAAGAAGCTATAAAAATTTGGATAGATAACATATTGTCTCATGACAAATTAAATCTATCAGACAGAATACTTATTGAAAAAGCTAAAGAATTTGCAATAGAGTTTAACATTTCTGACCAGTTTTTGGCTTTAACCGAATGGGTTAAGGATTTTAAATGACACAATAATCTCAGATCCTACAAAAAATGTGGGGAGGCAGGTGATGTTGATAAAAGCTTTTTACCCCAACATTGTGAGGACATTTAAAATATTCTAATCAATTATAACAAGAAAGATATTTAGAATTGCAATGAGATAGCATTATTCTGATTAATGAAGCCTAATAGAATACTGTCACATGGACTAGTGCAAAGAAGAAAAAAAAGAAAAGATCAAATTTTTATTATTATTAACAACGAATGCCACAGTTAACGACAAGCTACCAATTTTATTCATTCATAAGTATGAGAACCCATGTTCTTTATACAGAATCAATAAGGATACATTACTGGTATGGTACTACTGGAATATAAAGGTATGGATGTAATATTCTATCTTCAAATCTTATTTCCAACGATTTAATCTTAGAATGCAACTTGTTAAATGAAAATAATTCTTTTAATGAATAACACTCATTGTCACGAGATTGATGAAGAAAGCTTGTCAAATGTTTGGATATATTTTTTATCACCAAATACAACATCAGTACTCCAATCACTGAACCAAGGAATCATTTATAGTTTTAAGGTTAATATTTTATGTTAGCATATTCATATTATAAGGTAAAAAGTTTTAAAGTTTTAAAGTATATATCTCATTTATTAGGCACAATATAGGAAAATTTTATGTAGAAAAAAATCTTAATGTACAAGTGGCTGTCAAATGAAAATGACGATATTTCTCAAATAATGATTTACGATACAATTCACTTTGTTACTCATGTATAGAATAATATAACACAAAGAATGATATGTTATAGTTGGTAAAGAAGTAGAATTTTACCTTTGCATCAGTTAAGCAACAATGAAGAGCAAGGGGGAGACAGCAATGGTTGCGATGAAAAACAATAGTTGAAAAATGATTTAACTGATTTAATTGTTCAGCTTCCTATTTTGGAACCTTTTTCTGCTAATAAATATATTCATTGTAACGATAATAAGGAATATGGGGAAAAGACAAGTATTAAAGATATTGTTGATATTGTAAATGGGGTGGAAGCAGTAAATGAGTCAGATTCAGAATTAAAAAAAGAGGTTTCCACCAGCAACGTATTAAAATGTATCACAACCCTCATTGATTTTATTAATTAAAATGATTATAAGATAGATACTAGTTGCATATATAGTTTAAACAAATTGAAGAGAGCAGTAATTCTAAAAAACATAATGAAAAAGAAACAAATGAATCTTAATTAATTTCTTGTTTTTAATTACTAACAAATATATATTTTTACTATGTACATTGACAAATTTAATAAATATCAAGTAATAAATAAAAACCATTATATCAAATATTTTTTGAGCTTGTTATATCAGATTTTTAGTAAAACAGATTGTCAAAATATAACGATTTTGGTGCCTGTTCTAACAAATCCATTATATTGACTTTTACTGTATAGTTAAAATATTTAATTTTTATTGAAATAACAATATCCAAGAATTTTTAAATATATTTTTAGAAAAATATTTTTTGAAATTTTATATTTGAAAACTTTTAACCAGAAAGAATATTAATTTCTATTATTGATTTTTTTTCTAATTATATTTTTTGAAATTATTGCTTTATTCAACTAGTGAATAGTTTCAAGATTGATTTTTTCAATCATTTTTGAAATAAATATTATTATTTTAACTTGTTGTCAGATTGAAATAAGATTTGAATCTTGTGTTTATTTTTTGTTTTTATAAAAAATAGTAAAGAAAAAAAAATAAAAAATAAAAAAGATTATTTTTTTTCACTTACAACTTCAATTTTATTAATATTTTTATATTACTTTTTTAACTAAAAACTATTCAACTTTTTTAAAAATTAATAATATTATTATTAGTATTGTGTAACTGAAAAATATGAAGAATATATTTTATTTATTTTTTTTGTAACTAATATAATCAATTAATTTATAATTTTAATCAATTATTTTTAAAAGATCTGATATAATTAAAAATTTAGGATTAATTTAAGATAGGCAAAATTTTTTAGAAAAATCAAAAAAAAGAAAATATATACTTGAGAAAAAAAAAGTGCCAAAGAGATAAGAGATTAAAGATTTATTTTTTTTTATTTCTCTAAATTCTTAAATATTTTAAGAGTTTTAAAGATTGTTTTTTCTTGTTAGGTTTTTAGAATTTGGTTGTGCTATTTTAATTTTGATAGGTTAGAATTAAATTACTTTTTTAAAAAATTTTTAATATAATAATAAATAATGAAAAGTTTAATAAAGTTTTTGCATTTAATGTTTTTCAAAAAAAAAAAAACAATAATAATAAATAAATAAAATTTAATAACAAAAATTTATCTATAATATAATTATTAATTAAATTAATTTTTTAAATTGCTTTTTTTTATAAATTATTTTTTTCTTGTTATTAAAATACAAAATATTTAAAAGAATTGATTTTTAAATACAATATATTATATATATTTTTTTAATACACTATATAACTTTTTTTAATTAATTAATATAAAAACTTTTAACACAGTATATACAGTAATATTTATTTAAAATTTTTAAAATATTTTTTTAAAAAAAAATCATAGTTCAAACAAAATTTTTAAAAAAATCAAATGTAAAAAGATTTTAATATATTTGTTCTTATGTGAGTATAGTAAACCAAATAATAAAGTAATATTTAAGAAAATTAGATATATACAGATCCAATCATATTTTATTTGTAGTAATCACGAATTTTTTTATAATTGGTGAACAAATACTCTAATGTTATAACAATGTGATTACCTAACAATACACCATGTTCATTGTTTACGCATACCATAAAAACCCGGTTATTCAACAATCAGACTAATAACATTTGTTTTCTCAAAAAGTCTACAATATGTTGGTAACATTAATAATTTAGTTGGGAATAAATTTCATCATATATAAAATTTTTTTATTTAGCAAAAATTCGATGATACATTGCATTTAAAATTAATATCTTAAATGTGCAACCTAATCGCTTGTCTTTTTACAAAATTTTTTCGTGCACCAAAATAAATGTTATTTTTGTTTTGTTTTACGACTCATCACCTCCATGCCACCCGATATGACACCCACACGCATAGATGCCATTAAATTCCTGGCCGCATTAGAATGATCGTAAACTCCACCGTTAAATGCAGCGGTCATGTCTTTTCCGAAGGAGGTGGTGAGAAGAGCTTTACCACCGGGATGTTCAGTTACGAAGTTCGTCACATCGTGGATGACACCTTCGATACAAATCCAGTTATTTTCTACTGCCTTTTCTTCGTCTAATTTACCAGAAAAAGAGTAAGAAACAGATAAAAATTCGTGACGAGTAAAAATAGTTTACATAAAAAGGACTAGAAAATAAGAGCTTACATTCTTCATAAGTGACTACAGGCAATTGATCCAACGGTGTGCCCCAATCCAAACTGTTTTTCTCTTCGTTTAATTTTTTCTCTCTCATAATTATCTGACCTTTCTTAATTTCGTTTTCAGAGAATTTCTTTAAGTCATAGGCAATTCCAACATATGAGAGGGCCTTAATAAGCCATTTTGTTGGATCGTATTGATAAATTTTTATTGCATTTCGGTAATCCATTGGAAATTCATGATGAAAGTTATGATAACCTTCACCTAAGCTTAGGATGGCCGTGATGAAATGATCGCGAGGTGAGAGACGGTCATCGAACGGAGTGTCACCAAGATAATGAGCCAATGAATTGACACAGAATGTTGCATGGTGGACAAAAACGAGACGAGCGACTGCGGCGAAATAGAACCCGCCCTGCAAACAATAATCAATTAATTAGTGTTTAAGTTTGCATAGTTTAAACCATAAAACGTGTTCTTCCAACCTTCCAGTCACCCCAACCAAGACCAGCCACCAAAGTTGGGAAAATGAATCCCATGCCAAGCGCAAAAAGTCCATAGTACCTATGTTGCAACATTTTCAAGGGGTCGGCACTCAAATCAGAAATATCGGATCTCCCTAATTTATTTGGGTTTTCCTTTAGCAACATCCATCCAAAATGGGAATAGAGAAGTCCTTTGTGCGCGCTATAAGGATCCGAGTCGGTGTCCGTCCATCTATGGTGAGCTCGATGGTGTCGGCACCACCATCGAATTGAACCCTCCACGGCTCCAGAAGATATAAAAATGAGAAATATTTCGAACGGTCGAGCGACTTTATAGGCTCGATGTGACCATAACCTGTGATAACCTATGATTTGATTAAATTTGAATTACTATAAATATCACGAATACAATTGTAGTCTCATTATATGTTCGTTAGGTCGACAATTACAAAAGGGTACATCTGAATATCATTGATTACATAATCAACACAAAAACGCGCGAAAAGTTTATTCCCTTTAATACTTAAATGCTTTGTGCAAATTTATCGTCGATAGAAGCTCAATTATATTTGCATTTACATATATAACAACAAAAACTCGCAAACCTGCTGTAATCCCTAAACCTGTCAAAAAATAGTATATGACAGTCCATATCGCCGTTTTACGTTGGATCTCGGTGGTATAGAGACCGTACGCCGCGATAAGCGGCGTAAGAGTAAGCAAAGGCGCGTGTATCCAATTGACATGCTTGTACCAATTATTCAATTTAATAGGTTCATCACGGATATGTTTTTTCGCATTTATTGATTTCTTAGGTTCAACCTTTTGAGTTTGCGAAGCATCAACAGCCATTTTCAAATTCGTTATTCTTAAAGAACAGTTTTAATCGTCAGACAAGCTATATAAATTTATGATCAAATGAATCATCGAAAGATCACACTGATGTCAAAAAAATTTTTTGAGTGTTTAAAATGGCGGAACTTTATATATACAATTTTTCTGATCTGTAAAAATCATGTCATGCAAAAAAAAATTTTTTTTTTTTGGTGATATGGGGAGAAATTTCTACTGTACTTTTTTTGGGGCAAAAAAAAGAAACAATCTTTTATAACAGATTAGCTTTCAATATAGAGTTGGGGATAAATAAATTATGTATTTCGGATCGACATGATGGTCGCTTTCCCCAAAAAATATTTTGCATTTAACATTTTAACAATATAATCGGTATAAATTGGTGACAATCTTTAGTCAAAGACGTGTGACTGCTACATTCATGTGTTTCTAGATGTCATATGTTAGAAAAGCAACATGTGGAATTTCGAGGCTTTCCCGTATTTGTACATGCGTTAATTTTTACGTAGATTCTTAAACAATACATTTCTGTTTCCGTCGATTTTGCTTAACCGAATTTGATTAACAAATACATATTAAAATAGATTCATTATTGTTAATGATTAGCATTCTTCTCATTCTTCTTCAGTTCTGACCTGAATGCAAGCTGATAGCGACATGATTTCATAACATGTAATAACGTTCTTGAAAAGAGTTTAAACTATAAAAATAAATAGACTAATAGACCCGATAATGAGCTACATGCATTTCGTGTTAGTGCTGCACACACCATTGAATATTACATAAATTATTAAAGATTTTGGTTTTTTTTGAATTCAAAAGCAAATAATGATTTTTTTGATAATTAAGAAAAAATTTAAAAAAATTATACACATTGTAAAAAATTACACATTACATCAAAATTATTTTTTATAACAATTTTTTAATATGTACTGTATATGTAACTACTACAATATATAATAATTTTTTAAAAAAATAATACTTTTATATAATAGTTGATAAAAAAAAATAACCGTTATCATATGATCGAAATAATTTATCGTAAGTGTAATAAATCACTATTTTTATTAAAAATTATTATTTTTTAAATATATTATCTATATAAAAAAACTTTATTTTATATTGTTTTGTATAAAGAAAATTTATTTTATTATTTATTTATTTATTTTTAAATTCTTGTAAAAAATAATTTTTTAAAAAAAATTTAATAAACATATAAGATATATTATTAAAAAAATAACTTATAAGAAATTTTTTTTTTAACAAAAGTTTTAAATATTTTAATAAATTATTAAAATTTTTATATACTTTAAAATTCTTTAAAATTAAATTTAAAAAAATTTTTTTAAAAAAATAAATTAATTATCAAATGTTTATTTTTTTTATTAAAACAAAATATAGTCATACTCCTCTAATTGTATATAGTCGGGATCAATCAAATTTGCATATTTAGAGAAGTATACATTTAAAGAAAAATCATATAATCATGTGATTTATATTTTACTATTTAAATAAATTATATATTTTAATTATAATTTTTTAAATCTATTTATATATTTCTAATAATATGAACAATATTAACAAATTTACAATGACATAATATTTGTTTAAAAAAGCAAAATAATCCAATAATATCACAAAAAAATCTTGTTTAATAGTGTAATCAAAAGTTTAAAATTAAAATTAATCAAGCTACTATATCAAAAACACTAATAATCAAATGTAAAAAATCCATTACAAAAATGTATATAAAATGTTAAATTTTTTAAACTTGAGTTAGCAATAACAAAATAGTGTTTAAGAGCTCAATAAAAAATATTATTAACAGATTTATTAATTATAAAAAAGTAAAATTTTTTATTAAATATTTACAGGATAGTGCATTGAAAATTGAATTAAATATCAATAGTAATTCAATATATGAATTTTCTAATTTTCAATGCACCACCTTGTAGATATAGTTAAAAATACAATTGGATTTTCAAATGATTGGCTTTGTCAATTTAAGGATCAGTATAACTTAAAACAAATTCAAATATATGATAAAAGTGACTCTGTTAATGAACAAACAATTTAAAAAATAATTAATAACCTTAAATCTTTTTTGGATTAATATAAATAGAAAGATATTTACAATATAAATAAAATCTGTTTTTTTTTCAAATAGAACTTAATACAATACTTATTATTGAACAACTGGCAAGCAAAAAAAAAATAAGAAAAGATTAACAGTTACTTTTATTGTAATGGCAATGGCTCTGACAAATTAAAAGTATTTGTTATTGGATAAAGTATAAAATTGTGTTGTTTTAAAAATATCAATATTAATAATTTTGAAATAACATATAAATATAACAAAAAAACTTAAATAATGGCTATTTTATTTCAAGAATGATTACTTAATTTTGATAAAAAAATATATGATCAAAAAGTTTTTCTTCTTCTTAACAATACTACAAATCATATAATTACCAATATAAAATTATATAATACAATAATTAGATTTTTGCCATCTAATATAACATTACAGTTATAACCATTGTTACACTTGATTTTCGCCCAACATTTTATTTTATCCTTGTGACAATCCACTAGCATTTAGCCCCTGAAATACACCCTTCTTGTTCTAGAATTTCTGTACTATTGATCTATTGTAGTACTTTCGCCTACTTTGCCTACTTAGCCATCTTTGCCTATTCTGAAATATTCTTTAACTTCATTTACTATTATCACTTTGCTATCTTCGCCAGAGTATTCATCTCTACCAAAGTAAGTATAGTTGACTATTTTGA